GTGACTTCCAGGTTCTGGGAGGGATCTTTATTTGTATATATGTTTTGGGTTGGTTCCGCCTGTTTATATTGTTATTTTCCTACTCTTGTTTAACTTCTACCCTCAGACCCATTACTTGTTGTTCCGGGTTTCGGGTTGGCTTACCTGCTGGTGGGTTATAGTAGGTGCCATCATGACTTGATAAATCGGATCGTGACAAATTCTATCGATAGGGTTCAAAAAAATAAATTAATCACACTAATAATATCCATAAATAAATCGGTCGGGTCGGATCATATATGAACGAATTGAATAACAAATGGGTTGACAAAAAAATCCTTAGTTCAAATAATTTCTTACAATTACAACTTATCATAAGAAACAAATTTAAAGTACATATCTATAAAATGATAATAAAGTAGCACAACTCATTCAAAAATTCTACAAGTTCTTCAATTCCTTTAGAATTGTCTTCGGTTCCTGAAAGTGAAAATGGAGAGCAAGCACAAATTTAACATTAGAAAGACTAACAATAAACACAAATCAAAGCAAAAACACTCTTTCTTCACAAAAATTATTTTTGGCACACTGCACATATAGAATTCTGATTTTTTTAAAAAAAAAAACAAAAAATACAAGAACTTACAGAGGTTGCCATCAATGGTCGAATCACGAATGGAGGATAGAATGAAATGATCTGCGGAGGTCGGAGGACCACCAGCGGCAGCGAGCAGCGACAGCAAGCAGGAGCAGGCATTAGGCAAGCAGCAAAACGAGAGGCAGTATTCTAGTTGAAAGAGAAGACTAGGAGGAAAAAATAGAATATTGAAATCCCTAGAAAAGAGAGGTTTTTATTGTTGACTTTTCAATTAGAGATTTAAAATATAAAATGTTAATCATTAATGATTTTTTATTAGAGGTCTTATGATATATATATTTAATTGTCAAAAGAAAAGTTCACTAATACAACTTTCCACATTATGAAATCCTCCTTTCCGCTTGAGAAACAGTTATAGGTAACACAACTTGTATTTTTCCATTGAGCCAAGTTTAGAATCGTGTTTATGGTAAGGACCAATGGAGAGCAATTTTGGCTTATAAGCATCAGGATTTGATTCACTCAGCCCCACAGTCCCCTTGAATATGGTAGTGGATTCCATAGACGACTTGTCCAAATTCATACATCTTTCATTTAGAGATTTCTTTGTTTTCAACCCTAATGGATCTTCGCCATTATTTGTTTCGTCTATTTCAATTGAACAATTCACTTCACCTCCTTCTTCTATCTGTAGCTAATAAAAAGTATTCATATTAGATCAGAAAGGAATATAGTTTGTTTCTATTAAACTATAACACATTCACAAAATGAATATTGTAAGAATTGTTAAAGATTCTATGATCCCACAAACTTGTCAATATCAAAAATGACTTGAGATGGTTTGGTCTTGTCTTATGCACTGCATGTAGGTGTAAAGTCGTGATTAGTAAATGTGTTAGCAGGGATAGCGCTACCCTTTTCCAACGATTTTCAAGAATCACACCTTCGTCGAAAAATTACATTGTATAGATAAGTCAAATTTTGATTTTATATCGATATATATTAATGTTGAAACCTCTTGAAACACGTTGAAGAGTTAGAGCAATGATTTAAGAGATTTTGCAAATGCTCTCTATTACACGTTAATAAGGAAAATTTAAATGGGATGAATGAGATGACAACAGTTGGTGGCTCATACACTTGGACAAATGGACACATTTGGGGCAAGATTGATAGGGGCATAGGGCTATAGTAAATGCTGACCAGATGCTTCACATGCCAACAATAGAGGTAAAGATATTAAGATCCGGAATGTCTGATCACTCCCCTTTGTGTCTGGCACTGGACTGGTGGAAGCTCAAAAAATGAATTATGTACTGAAAGAGATAAACAATTCTGTGTTCAGAAGGGTGAAGGACAAAATCCGGAAAAACAGAGAGCAACTTCACCAAGTAATATGCTAGACCATAAAATGGTGCATGCTACTAGGGAGCAAGAAAAGGAACTGAGGAAACAACTGGAGAAGTGGAATTCGGTTAAGGAAAGTGTTATGAGACAAAAGTCCAGGGTGCAATAGTTGAACCTAGGTGATGCTAATATATGATACTTCTTTGCTCATATGAGAAATAGAGTGGACCAGAATACTATCACAAGCCTCACTACTGCTGCATCTATAATTGTGCATTCTTAAGAAGATATTGAGGAAGAGACGCTGTAT